AGACTCTCTGATGACACCACGGGCCAAAGACTTCTTTATATACTCTCTCACCTCTTCCCACTGGTGGGGTGGCACGCGTCGGTGGGGTATTTTGAATGGTCGTTCATCTGTAGTCTCAATTCGGTGTTCAACCAGGTCACAGTACCCGATGTCATCGTCATCCTGGCTGAAGGTGGACAGGTATTTGTGGATCACCCGACGCAGACTTTCTTTCTGTGTTTCAGTAACATCACCAATGTCCATCCTTGACTCAAGTTCTTCAACTTCGTGCATATCCAATAGACCCATAGATACCTCCCTCACACTCACATGGTTCTCATCAACTGTAACAAGCTCAACATCAGGCTCTGTGGCATATGATGACATCCTGGCTATGGGGGTCCTAGGCTGAACGTAGACATCTTCATTGCTGAAATTGGCTACTTGAAGTGGGACCCGACCCTTGCGATCAACTGTAACAAGTGAAGCCCCTACTGCTACCCCCCTTGGCAAGTCTGCCACATTGGCCTCGGTGTGCTCCACTAATGCTCTGTAAGGGGTGCTAGCAGATGGCTTGACTGATCCCTCTAACACCCTAATTGATCGAGCGGGGACTAGTATGGGACCCAACCCTACCAGTCTCACCCTCCCATTGTCGTCTGGTGGCAATACCACAGTCTGTTCTAACATGCTGGGTTCCCTGTACATCTGGAGCGCGTGCAAGAGAGCGCCCTCCCAATGACTAAGTCTAAGATTATGCAATACACCAGCAAAGTCTTTTCCATACATTGAAACCAATTGCTTATGCATATCCCGCAAAACATTAGAGCCAAGTATCCCGGGGACTCTCTTTTTACGCTCACCCACTGATGAAGACACTGGGTCTTTAACAACAAGAAAACCCAACCCTTTAAAAGTGTTTGTAAGCACAGTCAACTGAAGTTCAACATATCCAATGTAAGGTATCTCCAGCCCCTGTGATGCAGATATCCTGATGTATGACGAGACATTTATGACCTCTCTTCCCTCGGATAGATGTTTCATAAAAA